TGAATATAGGTATCACTAGTTTTCAGCATTTCCTTTTCTTATTTATTATTTAAGGTTACAATTTTTTCCTGTCGTCATGACTTTGTATTTCCCAAGGTTTGATATGTCAAATTTTTTAATATTTTAATTTTGAACTAATTTGAATTACGGAGGAGTTGCAAGAAAAGTACAAAGAAAACCTGCAGACGTCATGCATCATCACCCTCGAATACATTTGTGCATATTCCCTGCAAACAAGGACGCTCTCCTACATCGCCACAGAGCAGCCTCAAAATCAAGAAATTAATATTGATCCATTACTCTATCCAACCGAGGGACCTGATTCGAATTTTGCCAATTTACCCAATAATGTTCTTTATAACAAAAGGATCCTGCCCAGGTGGCATGCTGTATATAGTTTTAGTTTCTGTCAAGCTGATATGTTTCCAGCTTTCTTTGACTTTCATGACCTTAGAAACTTTTGAAAATTACAGGCAGGTATTTTGTAAAACATGCACTAGTCTGAGTTTGTCTTATATTTTCTCATGATTAGATATAGGTCGTTCACCTTTGGCATTGATATCTCAGAAGGTTTTTCTCATTTTATCTTACCACATGGTGCATAATTTCAATTTACCCCATTACTAACAGTGTTCATTTTGATTACTTTTTAGGTTGGTATCTTCGGGGTTTCTCCACTGTTACTCTTTTCCCCTTTATATTTAATAAGTATATTATAGTACTTCAAAGTACCTAAACTAATCCTATTTCTCATCACATTTTCAATTATTTATTTAGTAATTTACATCACCATTTTATTTGGTGAGTATAATCTGTTATATCATTATTTATTTTATTCTCAAATTGCCCCAGATTTCATTGGTAAAAGCCCATTAACATTGGTTTCTAGGTCCTTTTGAGATAACCCCATCATTCTTCCAGGCTTATCCTGTACTCTCCCTGCCCCAGCCCTGGAATCTGTCATTTTTCCAAGGACCTCTGGTTATTTTTAGTGGGGAAGCCAAGATCTAGGCACTAGGTGTGCTCATTGATATTACGGTATTATAAACTCTTTCACTGGGCAAAACTGAGTAATAGGTATGTGCACAAGTACACACACTCACACTGAAAACTGTGAATTCATATCAGTGCATCCAGTTCTAATCTACTTGTACAAGAGTCATTCTCATTTTCTCCCTTGTTAAATTTGTAACTCCCTTCCCCACCAAGGAGAAATTTGGCTTCCATTATCCTTCTCATATTTACTTATTCAACCAATACTCTATATGCAATCAACCTTGCTTCTTTTGCTGTCATCCCCTCACCCATGTGCACTCCCTCCTTTCCTTGCTTGGGATCTGAGGCACTCTCCTATATTGACACCCTGTTCACATTACTTGGGTTCTGTCACCCTACACTGTAAAGTTCTCATGTATAGATGTCTGCCCTGCCCCACTCAGGCTATGATGGACTATGTTAGTCCGATCCTGCCCTGCCCACATAGATGTCTTTTGTTTTGGGTGATTTTAAGATTTCCTCTTTGTCTTTGATTTTAAGCAGTTTTACTATGTTGTGCCTAGGTGTAGTTTTATAGTATGTATCTTCCTGTCATTCATAGCACTTTTTGAATCTATGGCTTTATATCTCTCATCAGTTCTGGTAAATTTTTGTTAGTATCTCTTCAAATATTGCTCTTGCCTCATTCTTCCTGTTGTCTTATTGGAATCTGGTTATATGTATCTTAGATCTTTGCAACCTGTGCCATATATCTCTTATTCTCTTTCCTGTATTTTCCATTCCTTTTACTTTCTGTGCTTTATTCTGAGGATTTTCTTCTTACCTAAATTCTAGTTTAATTATTCTCTTTTCAGCTCTCTGAAATCTGCTGTCACAGCCTTTACCAAGTCCTTAATTTTGGTTATTTCATCTTATAATCTAAATTTTTTATTTAAATATTTTTTAAAAAATTTTGCTTTAAATTCTTTCTCTTACAATTTAGTTTCTTGAGCCTATTAGTTGAGGGGTTTTTTTTTGTTTTTTTTTTTTAACATGTCTGATACATACAATGTGTGGATTTTCCATGGGCCGGTTTCTATGGTCTATCATTTCTCTTGATTTTTGTCCAATCATTTTCTTTTTGCATGTCTTTTTATTTTTTATTGCATGATATATGTGGTGTAGAGATAGTTTGAGGCCCTGGATGATGTTAGCTTCTTCCAGAGAATTTTTATTGTTGCTTCTGGCAGGCAGAGAGGTGAAGGGACCTTCACCTTAATCCAGTCAGAGAATAAGCTGGTATAGTGCTGGGCTTCAGTCTCTGTAGAGCTTTCCTGTTAACCTTTTGTCCAAGGGCTGTAGGCTTTCGGCCATCTCATACCAAGTTTGAGGCCCCTTCTCCTTCGTAAGCCCTGAATTTCAATTTTCATCTCCGTAGCCCTATGAGAACTCTGGTTATAGTTCTGCTCAGCTTTGACTACAGCTTTGCGGTAGGCAAATGACTTTAGGAGAAAAATAGTGTTGAGTGTTGTGTTCACCACCCTGAGATTCCCTTCTCTCTGGAATTTTGGCTTATTGAGTCCTAGCTACCTTAGTAATTCCCCAAGCCTTTGTTGTGTTGTGTTTGTTTCCCTTTGTGGTTTTAGTGGGAGGGTTGGTTTGAAACAAGGTTGTTGACCATTAGTAGAAGTGAAAAAATCAGATTATCTGGTTTGGAAGCAAATTATTTTAAATCAGAGTTTGACAAGCTTTTTCTGTAAAGGGCTAGATAGTAAAATTTTATACTTTGAGGGCTATGTGGTCTCTGTCACAACTACTCAACACCGTTGTGTAGTGCAAAAGCGGCCATACACAGTACCTAAACTCACGAGCGTGGCTGTGCTCCAAGAAAACTTTATTTAGAAAAGCAGGTGGCAGACTGCAGTTTGCTTATCCCTGCTTTAAACGGGGGAAGAATACAGCTTTTAAAGTGGTGAATGGAGCTAGTCAAGAAAAAAATTTATTTCCACAACCGTTAATGTTATTTTAAAAAATATTTAACTCCAGAGTAGAATCCTGAGCTCTGTGGGTGATAGAAAAGAAACAAAAGTCGTAATTTCTGATCTGTCTCAGGGGCTTGTTAAAGAAACATATTTTATATGAATAAGAATTTACATGAAACATAGGTACTGATTAAGGTAATACAGACTCAGTGCATAAGCGCTTAAAAGTTGTTAGAGCAATATGAGAGATTGAGAAAGGCTCCACATTCTTAGTGCTGTTTAGCTCTTCACATCCCTTCCGTGATAACCACAACAAACAGGTTTTAGGGTGCAATGCTAAAAGAGAGATCCAGGGTACCTGTGGTGGGCAGGCCTCGTGGTATATCCACAGTGAAGGTCCCTTGGATTCCATGAGACAATATGATATCCTGGATACTCATTCATCTAGCAAATATTTATTAAGAACCCATTATGTACCTGTGGTAAACTAGGTGTCTCACTATGTATCAGTGTGCAAAACAGAAAAAAATGCCTGTTGCGTGGAGTTTTTATTTTAGTGGGGTGAGACCATACATACCTACATTTATGCATAGTCTGTCCTGTGGTGATAAGAGCTATGAAGAAAAATAAAGCAGGTGGAGGGGACAGGGAGCCATCTCTGGTGTGCTGGTTTGAGAGGTTGCTATTTGTCGTCAGTTGGTCAGGGAAGGCCTCTCTGGTCGGATGACTATGAGGAGACAGCGGACTATAAGCAGACTGCTGAATGAAGTTAGGAGATAATTCATGGCAATAGATGGGGGAAGAGATTACCAAGCAGGAGGAAATATACAGGCACCAGTTATCTGAGCACACTAAGTGGGATGATTAGAGACTGTGATGGACACATTTCTGCCACATCATTGAGTATGCCACCAATTCTGCAGAGAAGAGAAAAATGTTTAATGACAGGAAGAAAGAACACCTACTTTTGTCTACTACCAGCATATAGATATTTACAAGTATTAGTACTTTTGTAAGAGGTCAGTCTTGAAACCAGTACTGTCAATTCCAAGATTCTTTAGCCATGAATCTTTTCATTCTTATATAGCACATGCCATAACCTAATGCACTGGCAGCAATGCCTCCCTTCTCTACAAGCTGAGCTTTTCTCCTCCACCATTAGAGTTCCTTGGTTCATTCAGTTGATCACTAATGCTTCTATGATCCTTAAGAAACAAATGTCCCAACCCTCCTGGAGCATTAAAGATACTGAGGACACCAGAAATGTCTTAGACAATTTGGGTTACTATGACAAAATACCATAGACTAAGTGGCTCAAACAACAAACATTTATTTCTCATTTCTGGTGGTTGGAAAGTCCAAGATTGAGGTGTCAGTGGATCTGGTTCCTAGTGAGAGCTCTCTTGTTCGCAGCTGCCTTCTTGCTGTACCCTCACATGGCAGAGAAAGAGAGCTCTGGTCCCCTCCTGTTCTTAGAAGGCCACTAATCCCATCATGAGTGCTCCATCCTTAAGACCTCTTCTAACCCTAATTACTTCCCAAAGGCCTCACCTTTAAATGCTATGACATTGAGTATTAGGGCTTGAACACATGAGTTTTGGGAGAACAAATATGTAGTCCATAACAAGGCAAAAGTTTTCCTCAATTAGAAATTGGCATATTTGAGCAAGAAATTGTTGATAGATTAACAGAAATAGAAGTAGAAACATTAAAAAAAGGGGGTAAAATAGATAAATAAATATAAAATATACTTAATTCCTTCTATTTCAGCATGTAGTGGACACTCAGTAAATGTTTGCTTGTTATTGAAATAATACCTGTCACACATGTAACACTATACTTATTACATACATACTGAGTAGTGTTTCTATCGTTTACATATTCAAGAAATTATTGTCATGACAAACTAAAATAAATGGATAGAAGATGAGTATAGGCTTATTAGTGTATTGTGTTAAACATTATCACTCAGATTTTTTTTTGTATAAAATACTTTGTGTATTGTTAATAATTAACCTCTTATCTCTTGTCACTTTCATTTAGGGTTTTTTTCTCCTGAATTGTCCAGACTTAAGACCTTTGGCTTTCCAATTGGTATATCTTAACTTATCATTTAATGATATCAGTTCCTTTCCCACAGAAGTGAGTCCATTTTATTATTATATTTAGTGTAATAATTTCTTATTATGAATAATAATCATAATTTAAAAATAGACACTTAAGATAACCTAGAGTTACAATAAAGTAAATATATTTTGGATTGTGTCCCAAAAGGCTTATTCTCAGAAGTACCAAAAGTACAATACATCTTTCTTAGGAAATTCCATGACATAATCTTCAAAGACTGTGTTATAGTCAGGCTCTCAAATATGTTCTCATAATTATACAATGTATAGAAAATGTTTTATTTATTCTTCTAATTTTGAATGAAACCTAAGCCAAACCTTATCCATGTGTTAATCAGAAGCTTTAAAAACAAAGTTTAGTGACCAGGTAATATAATATTATAACAAGTTTTAATTATCATAGGCGGAAATAGAATATTCTGCTTAATAAAACATAGCAAGGATAATCAGATATTGGATAAGCGAATTCAGTATCATTTTAAATAAATGAGTCATTATAAGTAATTAGGACTGACTATGTTTTCAACGTCTTTAGTCATTGCTTCATTGGTCACTGAATGATTAGTTGTTTTGTGAATTGAATTCCAGAATATTGACTTTTAGTGAACTTATTTCTAGCAAATTGATTTGCTTTCTATTTCAAACATATTTTCCATAATTTTGCTATAATATTGTTTTTATTTTCACTAGAAGAGTCACTTTTTATTTTCTAACACATAATACCAGTTTTATTAATTTGACTAGGGCAAATTGACAAGAATTCCAAAGGTATATAGGGATCTTAGTCTTCACTTTAATAATTTTAAACTTTCTTCTAAATAGTCATAGATTAGGCTTCTGTATCTGCCAAAGAATGCTTTAGCCACTAAAAAGGAATGCATAAATATAAGGGGGCTCTTCAGATATAAATTATAAAGTGCTCATTTTTAAAGTGATAGAAATCAATAAAACTTGTCATTAAAGTGCCAATCTGTGTTACATAGTGCTAGATAAAATATTCCAATGAAGATGGTAATATCCAGGTTTGGAAGGGTTGTACTAGGGGTAGGCTAATGATGCCCAGTTATTAGCATAGTGTAAATGCAATGATTAGAAGACCAGAGGCTGGTGTAAATGTGGTAATTGGAATTATTACAAGTTTCACAGAAAATTCAAGATGGTGGGCTCCAGTAGAGGACAGAGTCTGCTAAAATAGTTTAGGACAGTAAAAGGTAGAAGCAGAAATGGTAAATAAAAAGGTTAATATAACAAACTCTGTAAGTATATACTTGATCTAATTTCTTTTCTCAACTTCTTTAAAAGATAAAATCATATACAGTAATAGTTCATTAAAATAATGTCTTGTTAGGTCTGTAGCACATATGGATGTAATATGTGTAACAATTATAGTACAGAAAAAAGGAAGAGGGACAACATGTCCATATCTCACTGGAATTAAGTTAGTGTAACTGAAGTAGATTCTGATAAGCTAAGATATATGTTACAGCCACTAAAACAATTACTAAGAAAATAACTCAAGAGCATTAGTGAAAAAAAGTCATTAAAGTAATTTAAATGTTTATACTAAAAAGTATTCAGTTGATGCAAAAGAAAGCAGTAAGGGAGGAACAAAAAGGACATAAGACATATAGAAAACTATAGGTGAAATGGCCATGTAAATCTAACCATGTCAATAGTAACATTAAATGTAAATACATCAAGCAATCTAATCAAAAGATACAGATTGTCAGACTGGATTTAAAAAAACATGCTTCAGGGGCTGGCCCCGTGGCCGAGTGGTTAATTTCGCGCGCTCCGCTGCAGGCGGCCCAGTGTTTCGTTGGTTCGAATCCTGGGCGCGGACATGGCACTGCTCATCAAGCCACGCTGAGGCAGCGTCCCACGTATCACAACTAGAAGAATCCACAACGAAGAATATACAGCTATGTACTGGGGGCTTTGGGGAGAAAAAGGAAAAAATAAAATCTTTAAAAAAAAAAAAGGCAGTATTTGTTTTAAAAAAAAAAAAAATGCTTCAATGATAAGCTGTCTACAGAAGATACACTTAAGATTGAAAGATACAAAGAAGTTAAAAGTAAAAGTATGGGAAAAGATATAGCATGCCAGCAGCAACCAAAAGAAAGCTGAAGTGACTATACTAATACAGACAAAATAGATTTTAAAATAGATTTTAAAACAAAAAATATTACTAGACATAAAGAGGGACACTTTTCCATCTATCAGGATATTTAATAATTATAAATATATGTGTACTTAACAATAGAGCCTCAGAATATATGAAGCAAAAACTGAAAGAATTGAAGGAAGAAATATCAAATTCAACAATAATAGTTGGACACTTCAACACCCCACTTTCAATAATGCATAGAAAAACTAGCAGAAGGTCAACAGGGAAATATAAAACTTGAACAACACTATAAACCGATTAGACCTAACAGGCATCTATGGTACCCTCCAACCACTAGTAGCAGAATACATAATTCTCAAATTCATATGGAACATTTTCCAGGATAGACCATATTTTAGGCTACAAAACAAGTCTCAATAAATTTAAAAGAATTGGAAATCACAGAAAGTATATTTTTTGCCACAATGAAATGCAATGAGAAATCAATAACTGAAAGAAGTTTGGAAATATATGGAAATTAAGCAACAAACTCTTAAATAACTAATGATTCAATGAGGAAATAAAACAGGAAATTGGAAAATACTTTGAGATGAATGAAAATGAAAACACAACATACAAAAATTTATGGGATACATCAATAGCAGTGGTCAGGGGGACGTTTATAGTTGTAAATACCTATATTAAAAAAGAAGAAATCAATAACTTAACTTTCCATCTTAAGCCACTAGAAAAAAAGAGTACGTTAAACTTAAAGAAAGAATGAGGAGACAATAAAAATTAGTACAGAAATTGGTGAAATAGGGAAAAAAAATAAAGAAAAGCCAACAAAACCTAAAGTTGTTACTTTGAAAAGATAACAATATTGACTAACCTTACATAGACTGACCAAGAAAAAAGAAGACTCAAGTAACTAAAATCAGGAATGAAGGAGGGGACATCACTACCAACCTTAAAGAAATAAAAAATATTTTCAGAGAATATTACAAATAATGGTATACTAATCAACTAGATAACTTAGATGAAATGAGCACATACCTAGAAAGACACAAGAACAAACTCAAGAAGAAATAGAAAATCTGAATGGCTCTATAAAAAGGAAAGAGTTTCAATAGTAATTTAAAAACTTTCCACAAAGGAAAGTCCAGGACCAGATAGCTTCATTGGTGAATTCTACCAAACACCTTAAGAAGAATTAACATCAGTCCTTTACAAACTCTTCCAAAAAACAGAAGAGAAAGGAAAAGTTCCCAGTTCAAACTATTAAACCAGTAATACCCTGATACCAAAATTAGACAAAGATATGGGAAGAAAAGCAAACTACAGAACAGTATCTCTTATGAATAGAGATGCAAAAATCTCAACAAAATGCTAGCAAACCAAACATATGAAGAGGATTTTGCTACATGACCATGAGAGATTTATCCCAGGATTGCAAGCTTGGTTAAATATAAGAGAATCTATCAAAGTAATGCACAATATCAATATAGGGGAGGGGGGAAAAGTATCCCATTATCTCAATAGAGACAGAAAAAGACATTTTACAAAATCCAACATACTTTCATGACAAAAACACTCAACATCTAGGAATAGAAGGGTATGTCCTTAACTTGATAAAGGGCATCTACTAAAAACACACAGCTGATATCATACTTGTTGGTGAAAGGCTGAAACTCTTCCTCCTAAGATGAAGGACAAGATGAAGATATCTACTTTTGAAACCTTTTATTCAGCATTGCACTGGAGTTTCTGGCTAAGGCAATTAGGCAAGAAAAAGAAATAAAAGGCATACAGATTAAAAAGGAAGGAGTTAAACTATCTCAGTTGTAAATGATATGGTCTTGTATATAGAAACCATGAAAGAATTCACTAAAAAACTATTGAAACTAATGAATGAGTTTAGCAAGGTTGTAGTTTACAAGATCAATATACAAAAATCAATTGTATTTCTACATATTAGCAACCAAAAAATCCTGACAATAAAACTAAGAAAGCAATTCTATTTACATGAGAAAGAATAAAATATTTAGGAGTAAGTGTAACAAAAGTGCTAAACTTATACTGTGAAAACTAGAGAACATTGCAAAAAGAAATTAAAGGAGACATACTTAGATGGCAAGACATCCCATCTTCATGGATCTGAAGACTTAATATTGTTAGGATGGCAATACTCTCAAATTGAGAAAGTAAGTAATCTCAGATTCATTGCAATCCCTTTGAAAATTACAACTTGCCTTTTTTGCGGAATTTAACATGTTGATCCTAAAGTTCATATGGAATTGCAAGGGACTCCGAATAGCCAAAACAATCTTCAAAAAGGAAAGACAAACTTGGAAAACTTACACTTCCTGATTGCAAGAATGAGCATTCTCTACTGCACCAATTTTAAATCTTTAGGGTGATAAAAGGTTTAATTTGATGTGAAAGAGAGCTAATGTAAGACCTTGTTAAGAGTCACTGGAGAGCAATAAATATATTAATCAAAGATCGTAGATTTAAATAGCATATTCTACTTTTAAATGTTATATGAAAAATCAAGTGTATATGAAATTACTGTGACATCAGAGCAAAACAATCTGGCTGGCTATCATATCTGACACCACACTGATTACTGAGGTTAATTCCACTTATTTTCCTGGTTCTGCAGAAATCTCCTTCCTCCCTCATTCTTTTTGTAATTGCCTCTTATGAAACCATCAGCTTGATCAAACATAATGACTTTCCCCTTTAGAAAAGAACCATTCATGAGTCAAGGGTATATAAGTACAATAGTTGCACTCTCTTACCATATCATATATATTAATGCTGGCCAGTTATTTTGAAGGCTTATCAAAGGTATTTATTGAGATATATGATACAGCCAATTAATGTTACTATACTGATTCTACTCCATTAGTTCAAAAGGTTAACAAAATGTAACAAATAGGGATTTACATACTTTAGTATTCTTCTCATGATTTGTTTCTCTTTTCTGTTCTTCAGGTATTTTGTCTTCAAAATTTACAAGTACTGAACCTGAGAAATAATCCTATCAAAGAAATCCCTTCTGAAATTCAACAACTTAAGTATCTCAGAATTTTCATCATTGCCTTTAATTTGATTACTACTCTTCCTCATGGGTAAGGTTGATAGTCTGACATTATAAACACAGAAAATAAAGAGGTCATCATTTAGAAAAGGATCAATTGCCTTTTTGAAAGCAGCTAGCAACTTTTTAGCCATTTAATAATTGTTATTCTGTTCCAATTAGCTGATTTTCTTATTGTTGCTGTGTTAAAAATAATCCTACCAGCTACAAAAAAGGCAAATAATATGGAGCTAGTGAATACACATCTGGAGATCCATTATCTGAGTATAAATTAAATGAGCACAAATCATAGAAAGAAGCTCAGGTGAGAACTTTGCACTTATCCCTCGATGGCTTTTTTGGATGTGGAAAGAACACTGAACTTGGAATTAGGAAATCTAGACGTTTAACTTCAAAGTTGATAATTATCTATTTGAGCTGGAGGGAGTCATTTAACCATTGTCGGCCTCAATTTCCTAATCTATACACTAAGAAATTAGCCTGTATGATATTTAAAATCCTTTAAACTCTAATGGGAATGTTGATTTGGGGTGTAAAAGGGATGGATTTTTTCCCCCCACATATGGACTGGTAGTTATTTAACTCCTGTGAAAGTTTTAAACTGAAACCTGAACCAAATGCAAAGACAAGATACCTCTTCCAGTTAGAGTTTGACAAATTGAATGTAGGTTAAGGGCAAAGAGACAGACACTCTTAAATACTTGAACAACGTTTTGCAAAAGAGGATTCTTATAGTAATTAGGGAAGTATATAAAACTTCATTTATAAAGTTATCCATCCAGCATTGTTTGCAAATAATAATCCAAAAAAATTCTGCCTTCATACACTGTAAAACTATTCAGTCATTTAAAAGAATTAAAAATATGGAAAAAATTATACCATTTCTGTATAAAAATACACATATATATATCACACATTACACATAATATATAAAAAGAAAGAAAAACTAAGGAAGTAAAAATATTGCATTATTGGTATTTTATTTCTGTTTGAATCATCTATGTTTTTCCTCAGTAACGTAAATTGTATTTTCCCTGCCTTGACACTAGAAGTATCCAACACCCTTACATACATATATGTATATATACACACACAACTATGTGTGTGTGTGTATATATATATATACACATTTAAACTTGAATTCATACTGGATAATCTATAATTATGATTGCATACTTTAAATAACCATAACTGTCATTTAAAGAAAATGTAAAAATTCCTATAGCAACTAAAACTTGATTGTAACTAAAGGGTCAACGTTATTGGTTGTTTAGAGATTAAGCAAATTAGTTTGAACTATTGGTTATAATAAAAAAATTTTAAAGTGCTATTTCTCAAAAATGTTAGTGTTTCTAGAATAAAGCAGTAATATTTTGTATTAAATAATATGGGACACATATGCAAATCAAGGGAAGATTGGTAGCATACTAAAACCAAGAATGAGGGGGCCGCCCCATGGCCTGGTGGTTCAAGTTCCATGCACTCTGCTTGGGCGGCCCGGGTTCATGGGTTTGGATCCTGTGTGAGGACCTACTCCACTCATCAGCCATGCTGTGGAGACATCCCACATACAAAGTAGAGGAAAAATTGGCACGGATGTTAGCTCAGAATCAATCTTCCTCACACACAAGCGCGCACAAAAGACCCCCAAAAATCAAGAATGAAAAGCATAATGGGAATATTGGAATAATAATAATAATAGAATTATTATAGTAATTATTATGGGAATTAACTTTCTTGACCTCAGAGAAGACTTAGAGCAAGCTCTGACATATGTGAAAATGTTAATTTGCAGAGCTTTTAAGGGAAAACTCACATAGGGGATAATTACACAGTGAGAAATGAGGGTGCTGAATTCTTTGTATTTAAAGATTGTTGTCAGAACTCTAGCTTGCTGAGCATAGAAGACACGACTCAGAGTTGCAGGACTTAGGGAGCAGTAACTGTATGAAACTGAGGGAAATGCAGTGAACCAAACAATTATGTAACTGGCTGTCATTACGCTTACTCGCAATTGCACTGGTGCACTTTGAATATTATATTTTCATTTTGTAATTAATTCAGTAGATGTTTATGAAGTATCTACTGGGTGCTGCTAGGAGCTCACCACCTAGGGGGAAGGCAGACAATTGAATATAAATTGATATAAAATATTATATATAAGTATTAAATTATATATATTTTATAATTTTATATATAATATTAATATAAAATAATGCAGATGCACATTGTAAAATTCCAGACAGTTGAATATAACCCAATCTGAAGAGTCAGAGATGGCCCCCTGGAAGAGATGATATTTGATTCAAGTGTGAATGAGTATGAGCGAGCAGGAGATAGTTGGAATGATAATGGAGTGGATATTTCTTCAAATGAAAGTGACAATATGTATGCAAAGAAGAGAGATGTGAAGAACCAGCAGAACAAGAACAAGAAGAACAAGATGGGAATTACAAGCAGTTTGCTGGTTTTGAAGCTTAGAAGCAAGGCCAAGTAGTGAGAAATGAGCCTGGTGCAGTAAACAGGGACCAGATTATCTGGGGGTCTTGTGAGCTAAGGCAGAGAATTTGTACTTTAAACTGTATACGATGAGGAGACATTAAAAAGTTTTGTCTAGAGAAGTGGTGGAGTCTGACTTACATGTTAGCTCATGCTGGTGGCAGTGTGAAGGATGGATGTGAGGGGATAAAACAGAATACCAGGTGACCAGTTGGGGGGCTATCACAGTAGTCCAGGAAAGAGATGAAAAGAACTTGTACCAGGGCAATAATAGCACAGAGAAGAAGGAACAGATTGTTAAGAAATTGAAGTAACATCTGCAAAATTTGGGATTGATTAAACATAGAAGGTACAGGGAATGGAGAAGTCAAGGTAAAAAGAAGTCATGGTAACTCTCAGATTTACAGCTAGAGTAGAATAATTCAATCATGTAAAATATGTTTGCTGAGCACTTATGAAATACCAGGTTCTGTGCTAAGACTTGGGTTTAAAGTAGCAAGTGAAATGGTCGTGATCCATTCCTTCATGGGGTTTGGAATCCAGGGAAAGATATGGGAATGTTAGCAAACATCACAATAAATATATAAATAAAAAATATTATAAGGGCTATGAATGAAGCAAACAATAAGAAAGATGTCAGGAGGGACGTGAATTAAATTGAGTTACTAAGAGAGGTTTACCTCAGATAAATGGCATTTAAGCAGAAAGTTACGAGTCCAGGCCAAGGATGATGAAAAGAATATTTCATACAGTGGAAATATTTCATACACATGTGAGGCAAGTAAGAGTTTGGACTCTTCAAAGGCTGGCAGAAAGCCAGTATGGTTTAGGATACAGTCAGATGAGAGTACGGCCCCAGGTAAGATTCAAGAATTTAAGAGGGGCTACATTCTATGAAGTTTTGGAGGTCGTGTGAAGAAATTTTTATTTTAAGTGCATTGAGAAGCCATTGGCAGACTTTAAGCAGGAGAATGACAAGACTAAAGTTGAGGAGGTTTGAAGGAAGGAAAATAATGAGTTCAGTTTTAGGTTAATATGTTGGTTTTGGATTATGTTGCCTATCACAAAGTTGGATTTAGGCATATTAATGTCACTGGAGAGTTTTGTGCTGGAGATAAAAGATGCTGAGTTATCAATATATAGTAACTGAAACCACGGAGAAGTGTAGAGCAATCTTCTGAGGAGATGTTCCTAGAGAAACACCGAGGTTTCAGGTATGGACAGAGGAAGACGAATTATAAAGTCTGAGAAAAAAATGCTCAAATTGTATAAATTGAACCAGTTGTATCATGGAAGCCAAGCAAGTGGTATTTCAAAAAAGAAAGATGACCAACATTGTCAAATACAATAGAGAAACTCAGTAAAATTAAAGCTGAGAGGAGTTTCAGTGGAATAATGAGACCAAACGCCAGTCTGAGGTAGGTTGAGATGGAACGGGAGGAGAGAAATTGGTAATGGAGAGTGAAGACCACTCTTTGGAGAAACCTGGCTGCCATAGGGAGGAGAGATTAGATAAAAGCTGAAAGGAATGAGAGATCTTAGAAACACTTTTCGTTGTTATTTGTTTTTTAAAGACTTAGGCATATTCACAGAAGGATGGAAAGGAACCAGTAGGGGATAGACTGAAGATATGAAAGGATGACTGGTGGTGCAAAATTTCACAAAAAGTGAGAGAGAAAGGGGTCCTGGGCACAGGGGGAGACGTTAGTCTTGAACAGGAGGATTAACCCTCATCTCCTAAAACTGGAGTAGGTTGTAAGAACGAGTGTGGAAAAGACATAGTTATATGGGTAAGAAAATAGGAAGTTTACTTGGTCAACAAAGATTTACTTAGTTCCCACTAGGTACCAGTTTCAGAAGATTACTCTGAAATGACGAATTAAGATTATCTTTGAAAGCAGGAAGAGTGAAGATTGAGAAGAAGCTTTAAAGATAGTTGTGATGATTTGCCTTTAATATTGAGAGGAATGAAAAATAGAACAAAGGACAGGAGAAACGAAACTTTGACAAAGAGATGGGCTTAGCTGAGACTGGAAACCATGAATTTGAAGTGGCGCATCTACATTACTGTGTGATTTTTTCCATAGCTCTCAGTCACTCATCTGTAAGACAGAGAAAGTAAATTTTAGCTTCCATAAAAAGACTTATTTGAGGATGTCTTTAGTAGCTTTATTCATAATAGCCTAAACAGGAAACAATTCAAGTGTTCCCCAACAGGAGGATGGAAAAACTAATTGTTTTACTTGCAATAGCCAAAAGTTGGTAACGATCCAAATGTACATTAACAGATTAATGGATAAATAAAGTGTGACACATACATACAAAAGAATATTATTCATCCTTTAAAAGGAATTAAATTCTGGTACGTTACAACAAAGATGATGCTTGAAAACAATGTGCCAAGTGGAATAAATCAGACATGAAAGGACGAATATTGTATGATTCCACTTTTATGAAGTATTTAGAATAGGCAAATTCGGAAAGACAGAAAGTGGAATACAGATACTCTGGGTTGGGGTAGGGAAGAGACAG